GACTAGAAGATAACAGACTTGGAATTACCGATACAGTGGACAAGGACCTACAGAAGAAGGTCCACACATGCTGGCCACACCTGTCAAATGTGTGTGTGTGTGTGTGTGTACTCACCTAGTTGTGTTTGCGAGGGTTGAGCTCTGGCTCATTGGTCTCGCCTCTCAACCGTCAATCAACAGGTGTACAGATTCCTGAGAACACACACATTCCTGTGTGTGTGTGTGTGTGTGTGTGTGTGTGTGTGTGTGTGCGTGCGTGCGTGCGTGCGTGCGTGCGTGTGTGTGTGTGTGTGTGTGTGTGTGTGTGTGTGTGTGTGTGTGTGTGTGTGTTTATAATAAGCCAAATTGGTTCTGAAAGTCACGTTGATGGCGTGTAGCGTGGCTGGCGGAGGTCACTATAGCGGAGAGTAGCTAAGGTTCGGGACATTAATTATCATAAAAGTATTGTTGATAATCTCGTGTCTGTAGTCAGGTTGAGGGAAGGGGGAAGAAGGGGGGTGAGTTAGGAGGGAGGGGGAGCGATGGGGGTATGCAAACAGGGGGGTGTCTAACGGGGGGGGGTCATAAGATGGGGAGAAAATACCCCTATATTTAACGATTGAATTTCCCGCCAATATGTTATTGGGTCACCATCAATGCCCCTTTTCAGCGTGACTGATGTTGAGGCTTCCGGCTCTTACTGCAGAGTGCTGCTGACGCCGGGAGGCTCAGGCTACAGCTGACGCAGGAAGGCTCAGGCTACAGCTGACGCAGGAAGGCCCAGGCTACAGCTGACGCAGGAAGACCCAGGCTACAGCTGGCACAGAAAGGCCCAGGCTACAGCTGACGCCGGGAGGCCCAGGCTACAGCTGGCACAGAAAGGCCCAGGCTACAGCTGACGCAGGAAGGCCCAGGCTACAGCTGACGCAGGAAGGCTCAGGCTACAGCTGACGCAGGAAGACCCAGGCTACAGCTGACGCAGGGAGGCCCAGGCTACAGCTGGCACAGGGAGGCCCAGGCTACAGCTGACGCAGGAAGGCCCAGGCTACAGCTGACGCAGAAAGGCCCAGGCTACAGCTGACGCAAGAAGGCCCAGGCTACAGGTGACGCAGAGAGACCCAGGCTGACGCAGAGAGACCCAGGCTGACGCATCACCAGACTGAATGAGAGAAACAGAATTTCTCCGTTTCTCTCAGTCAGTCTGGTGTTGAGAACGGCTTCAATCGGCCGAAACGTTCATCTCTCTCCCCCATTTCTCCGTGGATTTTCCGCATACCAACGATCAGTGTTACGTGATCGTCAATTGCATAAAATAAAATAAATAGTTAAACCACAAAGGAAAAATGAAATGAAACAAGAAAGGGCTTGAGCGCTTTCGTATTCATCAACACATTTTCAAACGTTCACTCATTGTAGCACAACACTTGAATGTGTAGGCAGGAAGGTGAGGTGTAAAACATGTGTTTCTAATAACAACATACAGAAGGCTTAATGACCAATACATGTGGATAACTGGATATCCTAATTGGATATCTGTGTTTTAATCATCTTACGAAGATCATTTTTGAACCGATAAATTAAAAATGTTTCAAAATTGTACAAACTATTATTCATTTTGCATGCCCCTCTGATTTTCATTAAAGCAGATACAGCATGTTTCTATTGAAAATGATTTGACAATTTGTTATTGATGAAGACGTCTCCCAATAAATTTGTTGAGAATAAGGAGAGAATCTAGATAAAAAAAATAGAACAAGGAGTGTCTGGATGCAAAAAAAACCGCGATGGAAAATGGGAATAATACAACGCGTAAAGGGGAGTCGGAATAATACAACGCGTAAAGGGGAGTCGGAATAATACAACGCGTAAAGGGGAGTCGGAATAATACAACGCGTAAAGGGGAGTCGGAATAATACAACGCGTAAAGGGGAGTCGGAATAATACAACGCGTAAAGGGGAGTCGGAATAATACAACGCGTAAAGGGGAGTCGGAATAATACAACGCGTAAAGGGGAGTCGGAATAATACAACGCGTAAAAGGGAGTCGGAATAAAATCGAAAGAGAAACAAGGAGGATTACGGAGATTTATTGGAAGCAAGGGAAGAAAAGGCGGCAATATCCAGCGCCGGCTGCGAAATGGTTGGTGAAGGCGGCCATGATTAATGGTGGAGGGAGTGAGAGCGTTTGGGCTGACCAGCACGGAGCCTGGTGGAAAATATGGAGAGGTGCAGCTGGCGATGAAGTCCTTGTCATCTGTTGGTGTTGGTGGTGTGTGTGTGTGTGTGTGTGTGTGTGGGTGTGGGTGTGTGTGTGTGTGTGTGTGTGTGTGTGTGTGTGTGTGTGTGTGTGTGTGTGTGTGGGTGTGGGTGTGGGTGTGTGGGTGTGGGTGTGTGTGTGTGTGTGTGTGTGTGTGTGTGTGTGTGTGTGTGTGTGTGTGTGTGTGTGTGTGTGTGTGTGTGTGTGGGTGGTGTGGGTGTGGGTGTGTGTGTGTGTGTGTGTGTGTGTGTGTGTGTGTGTGTGTGTGTGTGTGTGTGTGTGTGTGTGTGTGTGTGTGTGTGTGTGTGTGTGTGTGTGTGTGTGAGAGAGAGAGAGAGAGAGAGAGAGAGAGAGAGAGAGAGAGAGAGAGAGAGAGAGAGAGAGAGAGAGAGAGAGAGAGAGAGAGAGAGAGAGAGAGAGAGAGAGAGAGAGAGAGAGAGAGAGAGACAGACAGACAGAGAGCACTCTATATCACATACTAGACTAGTTCAGTGTTCCTACACTCCCCTTACTTACAGAACAGCTACAGCATAGCATTTAAACAACGCATCGATTGTTTGATAAGTGATAATTACCCTAAATACATTAATGACATTGTGATCAATATTTTAATACATTATACTGTAAGCTAACGCTTCCTGTATTGTCCTACACAGTACGAACATACGACTGTGCTCAAAATAGTGAGAAAGTGAAACATTTACGATGTCAGTCAAATATTTATTTTCCATCTCAGTCAAGCAATTTTTTAGTTAAATGAAACGTGGTGCGAGAGATCCGGAGAGTTTATCGACACTGTAGTCACTCATGGCGGCGTTTTTTATATATATTTCTTAAACAGTTGATAAGTTTCGAAGCGTTACGAAGTTGTTTATAACAACAATAAACTTGAATTGTAAAGTTTCGAAGTTCATAACCTGATTAATAAATGAATATACCAAGGCGCAATGGCTGTTGAGAGATATACATGTTTCGTAAAGGATGGATATACACGCTTGATCAACTCTGCCCCAGGTCACTAGATATCTGAGCCAGTGAGATATACTATCGTGATTACCAGCCTGCTGTTGTAATTTTTATTAAACAGGAAAATCCCAGATATATAAACCACAATGGACTTGAGAATGGTCCAGGACGGACCGAAACGTCGTCGTCGTCCCTTCACCTTCTAGTGTGTGGTCTGGTCAACATGCTTCAACCACGTTATTGTGACTCATCGCCTGTATATAAACCAACTTTTAGTCCCATGCAATAGGCATATGCTTTTTTTTAGGGGGGGTTGGGGTGTCGTTCTGCTAGTTTAAGACACCAGTAGTTTACAGTTAACTGTTGTGTAACTCCTGAGTACTGTACAGTATCCTGAATACTTCAATGAACTGGTATAAAACACGATAGTTAGTTGGAATAAAACCAGAGTTTCATAATAAAAATTAGTATATTACCTCCCTAGCCCCAAAGAATAGGAGACAAAGTATGTGGCGATACATTTTTTCTAGGGATACGCCCTGCTATCCTCCTGAGTGATGGACACCTCTATCCTCTATATTTACTCCTACTAGGGGAGTCGAACCGAGGTTGTAACTTTAAACCCCCGTGGTTAGTTTAGTAGTTAGTATTCTAGTTTACGACTACAATAACTTTGCTAATCCAGTGAGATATAAGTTATTTAGCAACTAATTAATCTCGGTTAGTCGTCAATTGACACGGATAAGATAGTATATCATCTTGCAATCTGTGCACCAGTCATGCAATTATTAAAACTCAATAACTTCATTTATTTATTATTTATGTATTTATTTACATACAAGAAGGTACATTGGGTTGAGAGAGCAGACACTCTCGATAGCCTCAACATTCCATACTTAAGAAAAACGAATATACTTCATATATAATCAATATAAGACATATTTTCCTTTACATATTCCATTTATAACGAATACAAAATAACAGCTAAAAAAAAATTGCATTTAAAATTCATTTTCCCCTTACGTAACTTTTTAGCAGAAGGGGCTACCAATGATTTTTTTCTCTGGGTATTATTAGGTGAGTTTTCGTACCAACATCAAAGATGATATATTTATGCGCGAGCAAATCTTTGCTTTGGCTTAACTTAAGAGAACACGAACTCACTCTCTCTCTCTCTCTCTCTCTCTCTCTCTCTCTCTCTCTCTCTCTCTCTCTCTCTCTCTCTCTCTCTCTCTCTCTCTCTCTCTCTCTCTCTCTCTCTGTGGCTCCTGGATTTGTTGGACTTAAAAGTTCTTCACAGCCATGAAAACGCAATTACTCTCCAGCCCTTGATTACCTGTGTTGATTATGCGGCCAAGTTGTGAATAATTTATACACATTCACGTTTGGTGGACTGCTTCTGGCGCACGCGCGTACACACACGCACGCACACACATACACAAATATACACTGTGTGTGTGTGTGTGTGTGTGTTTGCGTGTTTGTGTGTGTGTGTGTTTGTGTGTTTGTGTCTGTGTGTGTGTGTGTGTGTGTGTGGTGTGTGTGTGTGTGTGTGTGTTTTGTGTGTGTGTGTGTGTGTGTGTGTTTGTGTGTTTGTGTGTTTGTGTGTGTGTGTGTGTGTGTGTGTGTGTGTGTGTGTGTGTGTGTGTGTGTGTGTGTGTGTGTGTGTGTGTGTGTGTGTGTGTGTGTGGCCTCCTAAAGATGTTAGAAGGCTTCGCGGCTGAGTGTACAGCGCTCTGGTGTCGTAATCCTAAGGGCCCGGGTTCGATCCCCGGCAGAGGCAGAAACACATTGGCAG